CCTCCAATCACTACCCCTGAGTTGATAGTATTTTGATTTTATCATGCATAGGTAAGTCAATGCCCTTGCATTCTAACCATCTCAACATTTAGCAGCATATCAAGTACATATTTTCTCTGGATAAGAGAATTCCCTTCTTCGATCTATTACCTCGATATCCAAAAAGTATTTTAAGGGTCAAAGGTCCTTAATTAGTTTGAAATTGTTGTTGTAGATACTTCTTCAAATGACTAATGCCCTGTGCATCGTCGCCAGTGATGATAGTGTCATCAACATATACAACTAAAAGGATCCGCTTCCCACCATAAAATCTCCAAAAACTGAATGGTCTTTCTGAGCTCGATGAAGACCAAAGGTTTGGACAATCGCGGCAAAACGTCGGAACCAAACCCTCGGAGATTGCTTCAAACCATAGAGAGATTTCTTTAATCTGCAAACCTTGTCACACTCCCCATGAGCAATAAAACCTGGTGGTTGCTCCATATAAACCTCCTCATCTAGAATGCCATTAAGGAATACATTTTTAACATCCAACTGATGTAGTGGCCAGTGATAGCGAGCAACGAGTGAAATAAGAATGTGTACACGTCATTTTAGCTACAGGAGATAATGTATTGATATAATCAAGGTCATATATCTGTGAATACCCCTTTGCAACTAGTCGAGCTTTGAGGTGAGCTAGATAGCCATCTGGATTTACTTTTACACTGTAAACCCATTTGCAGCCAACCGCTTTATTTCCTGGTGTTAGGGAAACAAGATCCCAAGTCCCATTTCTTTCTAAGGCCGTCATTTGTTCTTGCATTGTCGCTGTCCAACCTGGGTTAGACAGAGCTTCTGACAAATTCTTTGGAACCGAGTGAGAATACGAAGAATATATGAATGAGTAATATGATGGAGTTAACAAAGCGTAAGAGACATTGTGTGTAAGAGGATACCAATAACTTAGAGAACAAGATCTCTTTTCCTTTCGGAGGGCAATAGGAAGATCATCAGTAGCCCAAGCACTTGGTTGTACAGGTACATTTTGTCTTGCTAGTGTATCAAGCTCTTGGGTGGATTGAGACGATGACTCAGGTTACGAATCAGCACGTCTTGTATAAATCTAAACTGGTTTCATAAATTTGGATGGTAGTTAGTCTGTACAGCGGCCTTAGAAGGAACATTGACAGTAGTCATAATCATCGGGAGTATCTAAAGATTTATCAAAGGCAACATGTCCTAGTTTGTTCTCAAAGAAGACAACATCAATTGAAATAATATATCGATTCAAGGATGGACAATAACATATGTACCCTTTTTGAGTCCGAGAATATCCAAGAAAGATACCCTTAAGAGATTGTGGATCTAATTTCATCCTTTGAGGACTATGATTGTGAACAAAGCACAGAGACCCAAAGATTTTAGGAGGTAAATGAAAAGCGTCTTCAGCTGAATATAAAAGAGAGATCGGGGTTTTATTTGTTGGCCTTCTTGTTTTGATGATGTTTAACAAACAATTTACATCTAATATTGTTTGTCTAGTATTTGTGTTTTATATTTATTCTAGGCAAACAATATGTTGGAGGATGGATGGAATAGAGCTTCAACGATCATATCCAAAGGAGGTTGGCAGAATGTCGGTGAAGCTTATGCAATTCAAGTTAAAAATCGAGTTCAAGCTTCATCCGCAAATATATCAAGTCAAGCCTATTGAAGATCAAGATCAAGCTTTGGTATATTTAGTTTAGGTTTTATATTATGTGTGTTAGATACTCTAAGCTCAATATCATATACACACACGTATTTGGTTTCTAAGCTCAAATATTGTATTCTCAGTTTATAGACTTAACAATCATCATATACATATTTTATCAAGTCTATATAATCATTGTGCAAAGTTTCAAAACATTGTTTATGTCAAAACATCAAACTTCATGTATATCACTTTTTTCATGTTTTGAACACTTTTGCAAAATAATGAGATTTCACAATTGGGAAATGCAAATTGGAAAATTCTTTTTGTAACACTTTCCTCAAAATTTTACTATTTTTGGAATTGATTTACTATGCCCAATTGATTTTACAAAATCGTGTATGTCAGCAGTTTTTCAGAAACTATAAATCTGTGTTCAAATATTTATTTCTCTCAATTGGGAAATTCTTTCTCTAACATGTCACTATATATGTCTAGAACCTTCCTACAAAATTTCATAATTTTTGGAGCTGTTTTACTATTTTTAATTGATTTTACAAAACCGAACCTGAGTTCAAATGCTCACTGGGCGACAGAGAGACTGTCGATCGACCGGTCCGGTCGACCGATGAAATTTTCCGGTCGAACGATGAAAATTCCGGTCGACCGACGAGGTCTTTTTCTGCTTCCAACGGCTAGTTTTTTGACCGTTGTTTTTTGTCTTTTGCTCACGTTTTTGGCTGAGTTGTGAGAGGGTATAAATACCCCTTTGCCTTCAACTTTCAAGCTAACTAATGAGAGTTTTTAAACAAGTTTAAGAAAGTTTTTAACAAGGGTTTTAGTTTGGTTTAAGTGTGTTTAAAAAGCTTTTAAGCAAACTGAGAGTTTGTTTTGAGGAATCAATTTCACAAGAGCTTGAGGAGATCATCTATTGGTGTTTGAGCATCCAACTATTCTCTCTCCATCTCTTGATCTATTCTAAACTCAATCTAGCTTCATATTTTATATTGTTTGATTATCTTTTTATTAAGCTAGTGTTCATATTGAGTTTAGTTGATTTTATTATCTCTTTGTTCACACACAACCTATTGAGCTTATTGTATTTACATTCATAGTATAATTTTGGGTTGTGAGATTAGTGACTTAGAGTTGTGCTTAATTGAGTTCTCACCTTGTTTAGAGAACAATCAATTGATTTATATTGTGCTTTATTGTGAGGTTTCACTTGTAATACACTTGTACACCGAGAGAAGTGTGTGGTGAGAGACGGGGTCGAATCCAAGAGGAGTGGCGTCGGTTGGCGTGCCTAGGGAGAGATTGTAACCGAGCACTTGAGGTGGAGGACACGGGCTAGGACCAACACTTAGTGTGTGAGGTGTGATTGCATAGTGATTGTATTGTGTGGTGTAAACGTTGTTCGGGTGAACGTAGAAAACCCGGTTGTGATAGTGGAGATCTCCTCGAGGTGAGGAGCGGAGACGTAGGTCGTGGGGACCGAACTCCGTAATCATATTGTTTGTTTGTGATTGCATTGGCGCACTTACTTTTATGTTCATATCTTATATCGCCCTAATCACCCCCCTCTAGGGTCTAACATTTGGTATCAGAGCTTGGTGCTCTTTGATTTAAAGGACTAACCGCCTTGAGTTAAAGATCCAAGTTATCTTATTTGTGCTAATCTAGTTATGATTACTTTTGTTCTGCTTGCATATTTTCACATATATATATCATGAATATAAAT